ATAAAATATATAGTTCAGTTTGATTTTTTCTTGTTCAATATCAAACCAAATACATGTCGATTTCTTTAGCTAATTTGTTTCAATTTTCGTGATTCAGTTTGGTTTCTTAATTTTTTCTTCAACACCTCTATTCATAATGAGACTCAACCAAATCAAAATAATTTATTCGTTTACCTTTAAAATTTATTTAATTAAATCAAACTTTAAAAACAAGTATAGCAAGTTGCTTACCCTTAAAATTGGATAACAATTAAACTTATAAGTGATTTTAAGAATATGTGATTTCACCTAGCACAAATTGACAATAATAATTAATGCTAGAAATTGTCTGTAAAATAAAGCAAACCAGTATAGAAATGCAATTAGGCCCTCGAGCTAGATCGACCGACCAAGAATATGGTTAAGAAATATAAACTGAAGAACAAGAGAACTTAACAGAGAAAAGTGTTGTAGTGCTTTGATATGCGAGAATTGGATGGTTACAAATGGTTAGAACTCCCCTTCATATAGTAGAGGAATTCTACTTATGGTATAATTCTAAATACAGAAGGAAATCCCATGATTGGCTAAATAACCGTTCTTGATTTGATCCATTCTGAGATTTCCACCACGATCCTCGATCGGTCACGGATATCTCGATGTTTTGTTGGTGTGCTATCTTCGGTCTTGCTCGATGTCCATTATGTTTGGTTTTGATCATTACTGGTCTCGATCTCGATTGGGGTCAGTGGTTCCATTATACTTGAGAAATTGTGGCATGTAGAATTTCTTCAGAATGGGCTTAGGAGCCACACTTGGGGGGAAAGACTTTTGCACGAACTTCTTCGAATCCGAACCCTTCAGAATCGGTGGTGCCTCCGGATTTGATCAACTCGGGAGTTTCCCCTGATGCAATTCGCTTTGTAAGCTCTTCGGGCATTTTCATTATGGTGGGGCCAGTCCCTGATTCATTCACGTTTGACCTCTCTGGTACTAGTTCGACCCTGTGAACAACTTCTAGTGAGGGCTCGGGTTCAACCCCACTCGGTGCGCGATTATGATTTTGGAATTGCCTTATGGCAGCTTGTTGGGCCTGCAATATTTCAAATATCAGTCGAAGACTGACTCCAACGTCTTCGCTGCCCTGTGTATCTTAACCGACTGATCGAAAGTCTCTGCAGACTCTATTCTCGGGGTCAACGCCTAGATTTGCATTTAGGGCGACATGCGAACTAACGTCGATGAGATTTGCAACCGGTACTCCCTCGAGGCCAGCTTGGCGTGCTTCGATCCCTTGGGCAACTATATCGTCGTTTTCCCCATGAAAATCGAGGCCATTGTCAGCGTGTGTAGGTACTGTTTGAGAGTTTGACATGCTGATCCTGAAATCAAAAACACTTACGAGAACAAGCGTAAAGCAGTGTGTGTTATAAGAATTAGTATCAGGCAATCACTATTATCCTTAGCCCCACGGTGGGTGCCAAACTGTTTATCCTTAAAATCGCGTAACAATTAAACTTATAGTGGTTTTAAGGATTTGTGATTTCACCTAGCACAAATTGACAAATATGATTATTAATGTTAGAAATTGATTGTAAAATAAAGCAAACCAGTATAAAAATACAATTAGGCCCTCGAGCTAGATCGCCCTCGAACCGGCTGAGAATATGGTTAAGAAATATAAACTGAAGAACAAGAAAATTTAAGAGAGAAAAGTGATGTAGTGCTTTGATATGCAAGAATTGGATGGTTACAAATGGTTAGAACTCCCCTTTATATAGTAGAGAAATTCTACTTATGGTATAGTTCTAAATACAGAAGGAAATCCCATGATTGGCTAAACAACCGTTCTTAATTTGATCCGTTCCAAGATTTCCGCCACGATCCTCGATCGATCACCGATATTGCGGCTTTTCGTTAGTGTGCTATCTTCGGTCTTGCTCGATATCCATCCTGTTTGGTTTTGATCATTACCGGTCTTGATCCCGATTGGTACTTCGAATCCCGAGCATAGTACCGCACCTTCGTGTCTCGGTCTGATAAAACACGAGGCTGATCCTCGGCCCACCATCCTGGTCTCGGTTAATCAACAAAATCAGGTGAGCCCGATTTTAACCGTATACAGATAGTCCCCTCATTTTTTTGGAGTGTAATGACAAGAAACAAATTGAGTATTCGATCTTTATCCCGATTTGTCATGACATCATCACCATGACGTAAGCGACATGGGTGACCGAAATATCCCGTCGGTACAGTTCCCCAGGTATTTATGTGCATCAGTTGATGGTCGTCCACTACCAACTTTGCACCGTCGCCGTGAAACCCATAAATAGGTCCCTTTTTTCCATCCTTTCAAACTTTACTTTCAATCTCTTCTTCTCCAATCTTCAAAGCTCTCTGCATTCTTCAAGCTTTTCATCTTCAAACCTTCAAATCTTTAAGTTCCATTGCTGATTGTTAATTTCTTCTAAAACACCAAATATTATCATCTCCATTTTTTTTTACCTTCAAAACCTAATGGCGAAAACGTCTAAAATTGTTCCACAAAAAGAACTGCCTCCTCATCTTGGTCGGCCAGCGAGAAAACAACGGTGGAGCCTTGCCCTGAGGAGTGTGTTATTAGCTCTGACTTTAAAATCGAGAAAACCTCATCGGTCCTTGGTCGATGCGAGCCGGAATCGAGATACATATGCTCGATATCCGAGAATTTCCTCAAACAAGTGAAGAAATATTGTAACTAGGAAAACAAAGAAGTAGTGATACCGGCCCATGAAGAAGACATCACTACCCATGTGGAAGGAATCTTGAGCGTTTACACTTACCCTTTCATGTTGGGTCCCCTAGATCCAGTCATCGTGGACTTCTGCAGTAAGTCATAAGTAACCCTCGGACAAATGCACCCCTCTTTCTGGAGGATTGTAATATTGCTCCGATTCTTTGTGGTTCTAAAAATATATGATTTATTTTAATACCATTTGTTAGGAAATAGATGCTAAATGTGAGTTAGGAAAATGAGATAAGAGCAAAGGACAGTGGTGATATGCAAACCGAACAGTTGTGAGACGAGGCCTCGAGCTGGCCAAAGCTGGGCCTTGAGGTCGAGCTAGTATGCTTGACAGAGGATGATCGATGAAGGAATAACAACTTAGAGGGCCTCGAGGATAACCCTTTATGATCAGTAATGAGCAATAAATGAAGAACAATTAATGAACACAATAAATGGAAGCAATAAATTAGTGGAACAATTGTGGAGTATTTTTAAGTTAGAGAGCAGAAAATGTTCTTGTTCTTTTATTGAATATCATGTGTGTCAAAAAATGATAAGGGTCCCCTTTATATAGGAGGGGGAATTCCAACATGGTACATGTATAATTATTACAAAAAAATATAGTTGGTACAACCATTTAATAGTCCGATACGGACTTGTACCATTCTTGCAGGCGTTGTCAGCTATAACCACGTGACCTTGGGAATTTCACACCTTTACATGATGGTCATCGATTTATATTACCCCGAAATCGAGCATAGGGAAACTTCGACATGCTCCCTCGGTGTCAGGCTTCGATTATACCTCGAGCTTCCCGAGGTTGAAACCGCAGAATGTCATAGTGGTTATAAAATCGGGCTCTCCAATTTTAACCGTAGGTATACACCTTTCTTATATATCCATAATAAACAAATGAACCGTAGACAAGCAAAGTTACTGCTGAAGAGATGAGACTTGAGAGTAATTGAGTTCCCTAGATTTGTCACTTCTTGCACATCACCATTATGATTGTATTTTGTAGGATCTAAATTCTTGTAATTATTCAATTTTAGCTATTATCGAACAAGATAAGGAACATGATTATCCCTCTAATTAGGTTTTATAAAGAAAAAGGTCAAAACAAGGAGCTCACTCATTATGTTTTCATAATAAATCTGCTCTGCAAGGAATACTGGGAAGAAATAATCCCCGATGCCGACATATATTTCAATGAAACCATATTCCTATAAAATTTTGTACGTTATTTTTCATTGATCTCTTTTTAAAAAATCACATCACTAAATAATATATAAATTATTAATCTAAATCTCCCCATTTTTCGAGGAAGCGGAAAAGATGTGGACTGTTCAAGATAAGATTGAAGTCACAAGGTATGCATGTCCCGTCTTGATCCGAAAAAGCTGAAGAAGATTGAATCAGCACCTGCAGCTAACAAGCATCAAGATTCATATCAGAGTCTGCGTGAACAAACAACCAAGACTCAAGATCAAGCTTCAAAAGACTCATAAATGAGAATCTTGTAACTCGTAGCTGATAGACTTAGTTAGCCTTTTTTATTTTGGTTTTGATGTAATCAAGAGATCAGCAGCACTAACAGCAGCAATAACAGTAAAATCACAGCTTTCCGGTAGTCCCAGCTGCCAAAACTTCCAGAACTACACTGACCTGATTCCTTTATAGCCAAGGATATGTAGACAACATTTGAAACAAGGTTCGGTCAAACTTTTTCAAAGTGCTTCCCATGGAGTATCTAAACGGGTAAAAATTGTTCATGATTGCTCACTTTATCTTTGCCCGAAAACTCTTCATATTTCCGAGCAAAGAAGGGCAGCTGTGAGCATCTAATTTTTGCCCCACATAGAAAATTACTCCTAAAATAATTTTTATTGTTTTTCTAATTTTAGGAGTTTTTCTTTATTTGTTCTGCATTTAGTCGCATTGTTCTTAAATCTTAGGAATATCGTAAATCATGAAAATCACAACAAAAAATATTTTAGTAACTTTTACATGCATTTTTAATTAATTAATTTAGACAAATCATTAAATAGGATAATTTTACAATTTTCAACTTTATATGTTAGGTTAATTAACAGTGGCTAAGCCCAAAAATAAAGAAGAAAGGAGGCTGCTTAGTTTTAATGAATTTCGGCCGGCTTTAGTGGCCCAATTGCCCACAAACTCACCCCAGATCCGCCTGGCCCATCCCCTTCATTAAAACCCTAGACCCTCATCTCCATAAAACGGCAGATACCCCTTAACCTAAAAGGAAGAGCGCCATTTTCCCCCATTCTCTCTCCCCATACGAACCCGGACGATTCCCCTTCTCTCAGAAAACGGCGGATTCCCAAAGCCATAGCCTTCCGCATTTTCTACACACATAAAAGCATCTGAAAACAAATTTGAAATTCAAAATTCCTGAAATTTTCAGCTTCAAAATTGAAAAAAAGAAGAGAAGAAGTGAAGTTTCAGCTGACTTTTATACTCAAAATAATCAGTTGCCGTTGTTGATTCAAGGAGGTCTTCTATACTATTTTTCTGGGTTTTTGAAAGCAATTTTTGAGCCATGAATTTTGCTGTTTCGGCTGTGATAAGTGGCTGAGCTCCTCTTTAGTTTTCAATCTTTATTTGGTCTTAATTTCTTCTCCTGTGTTGTTTCGAGGTAATTTATCTATCGCTGTCATATATTCTTTAGGTGTTGAATCTTATGATGAATGATATCGTATGGTAATGAGTTCGAGATGTAATTATCGAATCTATATTATTAGTGCTTTGTGTTTGTTAAATCAGAATCAAATGAGTTAGACTTTTGTATGCTCTTCGTGAATTCATGAAAATTGATTAAAACATGTGGTTGTTTAGGCTGAAAGTCATGTTTCGCAGGTATTTTTTTTATAGAAAAAATATAAAAAGTGGCAGTGAAGGTCTTCATTGTTACTGGATGTATGCCGGATGTTTCGAGAAAGTATTTTTTTTTTTAACATTTTGCATATCAGTATAATTACATAAGGCTGTTCTTATTTTTGCCAGTAACTGATTGGTGTCATTATTTGTTCGTTTCTTCCTGTAAAGCCTCTAGTTGTACTGATAGTCTACGTACCTTACTTCTCAAGTTTTAGGATTTGAAGGACCAATTGATAAATAATCCAAGTGGCGATTCTGAAATTAAATAAATAATCCCAATTCGATTATGTCACTTAAATTGGAAAAACTCTCTTATCCCCTTTCTAGAAAAAGGAGGTGTGACAGTGTGTATTTTCATAGTTTTAGGATTTGAAGGACCAATTGATAAGCTCTTCAATCAGTTTGTTGATGGGTTTTTGTGTGCATCTGCTCATGCTGTTTTTCGTTTTACTTGATCCAGATTATAAAAAATGGTGCAGTACAACTTTAAGAAGATTACGGTGGTTCCCAATGGGAAGGACTTTGTCGATATCATTCTGTCTCGCACACAGCGTCAAACTCCTACTGTTGTCCACAAAGGATATGCTATCTCTCGTATACGTCAATTTTACATGCGCAAAGTGAAGTATACACAGCAGAATTTCTATGACAAACTCTCCACCATTATTGATGAGTTCCCCAGGCTTGACGATATCCATCCTTTCTATGGGGACCTTCTTCATGTGCTCTACAACAAAGATCATTACAAGCTTGCCCTTGGCCAAATTAATACTGCTAGAAATTTGATTTCAAAAATTGCTAAAGATTATGTGAAATTGTTGAAGTATGGCGACTCACTCTATCGCTGCAAATCCCTGAAGGTTGCTGCTCTTGGGCGTATGTGCACTGTTATAAAGCGCATTGGCCCAAGTTTAGCGTATTTAGAACAGATTAGGCAGCACATGGCAAGACTTCCCTCAATTGATCCCAATACTAGGACAATCTTGATTTGTGGGTATCCAAATGTTGGAAAGAGCTCATTCATCAACAAAATTACAAGAGCAGATGTGGATGTCCAGCCTTATGCTTTCACTACGAAGTCCTTGTTTGTCGGTCATACTGACTACAAATATCTGAGGTATCAAGTGATCGACACTCCTGGTATTCTGGATAGGCCATTTGAGGATCGTAATATCATTGAGATGTGCAGTATTACAGCTCTAGCACATCTGAGGGCTGCGGTGTTGTTTTTCCTTGATATTTCTGGGTCTTGTGGCTATAGCATTGCGCAGCAGGCTGCTCTTTTCCACAGCATCAAATCACTCTTTATGAACAAACCCTTGATGATCGTGTGCAACAAAACGGACTTGCAGCCGTTAGAAGGGATTTCTGAGGAAGACAAGAAGTTAGTCGCAGAGATGAAAGATGAAGCCATGAAGACAGTGATGGGTCAAGGTGGCGAGGCAACAGATGAAGCAGGTGTGTTGTTAACTATGAGCACGTTGACTGAAGATGGCGTGATTTCGGTGAAGAACGCAGCTTGTGAGAGGTTACTGAATCAGAGGGTGGAATTGAAAATGAAGTCGAAAAAGTTGAATGACTGCTTGAACCGCTTCCATGTTGCTATGCCAAAACCACGTGACCAGAAAGAGAGGCCAGCATTCATACCTCAGGCAGTGTTGGAAGCCAGAGCTAAGGAAGCTGAGGCAGATGCTGAGAAACAGAAAAGGAAACTTGAGAGAGATCTGGAGAATGAGAACGGTGGTGCAGGTGTTTACTCTGCCAGTTTGAAGAAGCACTATCTATTAGCAAATGAAGAGTGGAAGGAAGATGTAATGCCAGAAATTTTAGATGGGCACAATGTCTATGACTTTATTGACCCTGATATCTTACAAAGGCTTGAAGAATTGGAGAGAGAAGAAGGTCTTCGTCATGATGCAGAAGGGGATGAAGATTTTGAGATGGACGGTGTTGAGCTTACCCCTGAAGAACAAGCAGCATTAGCTGAAATCAGGAAACAGAAGAGTTTGCTCATTCAACAGCATAGAATTAAGAAAAGCACTGCAGAGAGCCGAC